TTGAGATTGTAATGTAAATGTTGTTGTTTGCAATCTCTGAGTGGGTATGGAGGTAGAAACAGTTTATATACAGGTCCAGGTTGGTGCTGTGGCCCTCAGGTGGAGTCCAGGAGCTGTTCTTTTTGTACTGTGTATGTGTCCTTTCTGTGTCAGGTTGGTCATTGCATGGCCACTTGTCATGGGAATATTTCCTCAGTATCAGGTGGCAGAAAAAAGCAAGGCCTCTATATAGCTGCACTGTTTTCATTTGTTAAGCAGAGGAAAAAGAAAGGCCATGGGACAGTGCAGACACCTTAGCTGAGCTGAAAGTGTGGTTGGAGAAGTTTATGACATTACCTTGGATTGTAGAGTAGTTGTTGAAGTATGTATGTTTGGAAAGGTCTGCTTCCTCCTCCTTTAAGGACTGAAGCTGTTTGTGATAGATTTCATGTCCGGATGCAGAGCTCTTTTCCTGGTAAATGGCTGTTATGTATTGAGGGGTGTACTTGATAGCCATGTTGGTCTGAGACAAAAAGACATACAAAAAACTAGAACTTTTGGTTCCAAAATGATACCTTTTATTAGACCAACTGAAAAATTGCAAGAAAATTGTCCCTTTCTGCAAACTTTCAGGATCAAAGTCCTTTCATCAGGCTCTGGGAAAAGTGTAGATGGTACAAGATGGTAAAAAGTCCCCATAGGTAGGAAATAAACTTCATTTTTGCACAGAGGGAGCTGAAGATGGAAGTCTGTCCCTCAGGGTCCATGAGTGTCTTTGTGAGCTGTGTTGAGTAGCTCTTTGATGTGTTGATCAGGTAGAATTCCTTTCCTGGAGGTGTCAGATGGCAGGCAGGGAGGCAAAAAAACCCTTCCTTGTTGTTCTGCAATGAAGTTTAAAATCCAAAACACGGCTACCAAGTACACCCCCGAAACATGGAAGATGCCGAATTTTAGCTGATTTTGGATTTTAAATTTCATTGCAGAGTGGATTAGTCACCTCCCTTGGGTATGATATGAGGAAATGCAAAACAGGGTTCTAAGCTCCCATTATCCTGAGGGAGTTTGAACCACATCTACCATTTCCCAGGACAGCTACCAAGAAAATGCACTAGATCTGGAAGGGACTTCCTAGGGCATCAAATTCTGCCCTCTACTTTTTCAAGCATTTACCTAAAGATTCCCCAAAATCTCTAGTCCAGACCAAGATTGCCACTTTAGATGCTCATGCACAAGTATGAGGCAAGCACCAGAAATGCCAACTACCTCCTGTAGCGTGTTATAGGTAAAAGCAGGGGAGATGAGAACACTGGTAGTGCCTTAGCATTTGTAGACCTTTGTGTTGAGTTATAATCCTTTTAGCTTGCGTTATAGTGACTTGAGTAGGCTTTTAGCTGTGTTAGCTTTAAGTTAGGCCAAACTAGCGTAAGTGAGACTAAGGGAACTAACGTAAAAGGAACTGGGCAGATCTGCATGAGATATTTACTTCACAGTTGACTAATTAACTGCACAGTAAATACCTCAACATCTACACGTGTGCTCCTATTAGGGCACACACAACTGAGCTCTGGAGTAGGCTAGTACTTTATTTACAAGTACTCCCCTACTGCAGAGTTTTTTTCATGCAAAGCAGCACACATTGGCTGGCTGGGGCACGAGGCTGCTTCAGTGCTGGGGCTGCCTGTGAGCTAGCTCCACATTGAAGCACCCTCATACCCCAACCAGATCCTCCACAACACATTAAAGCCAGCTAGAGTAGCCCTGAGATGGCAGGCTGACCCCTGGGGCTGCCAGGCTCCATGTGTTGCACATAAATAAACTCCACAGCTAATTACACCAGAGTTGTTTGCTCCTGGGTGCATGTCCAAATCTGGTTGTCGCACCAGACAACAAAGCTAACTTATTTAACAATTTCTTTGCCTCCATTTTTCTGAGCAGGGACCGGGTCATGCCCCCTCCCCACCCCCCCACCAGGACCCCCATAGGTCCCAGGGGAGGCGCCTAGGGTCAGTGAGGACCTAGTCAGGGAACTTCTGGAGGGACTGGATGCATTTAAATCAGCTGGTCCTGACAATCTCCACCCCAGAGTGCTGAAGGAATTAGCAGAGGTCATTGTGGGACTCCTGGCATGGCTTTATGAGCACTCATGGTGCTCTGGCATGGTGCCAGAGGACTGG